TTTTTTTTTATTTTTAAAAAAAACCAAAAAAAAAAAAAAAAAAAAAAAAAATATATATATATATATATATATATATATATATATATATATATATATATTTTTTTTTAATGGGCAAATGAAGCAGAACAAATCTGCAGATGTTAGTCAGTTGTTTCAGGCTGTTTCCACCTACATGTAAGCTGCTTTTTATGAAGCGGCTTTCTGATTCACGGCCTCCCGCTGTGAAATAACCTTGAGATTTGATGAAACTCATGCCGCTGCTCTGGAATCACCCGTCGTACGTATGTGCACCACTTTGCTCCGTGCACCACTGACCTGGGTAGAAAGACGCTCTCCACCACGTAGAAGTCTTGCATAAGAACGTCTCTGTCCGGCTTTGAGGTGAGGTTGCCCACTGTGTAGCCGATGCCGAGCTGAATGGCTCCCTTCAAGGCCGACGACGTGGTCTGGACGGGGAAACAGAGAGAAAAACGGCACGTTTATTTGGAACGCTAAAATAGCGAGGATTAAAACGTCGCCCTGCCGGAGCAGACGCCCTGCAGACATTTGCAGCGCTCTACAAATTTACTGCCACTCTTGGTAAAGACGTGTAAAAATCCCTAAAATAAAGCAATGTGATGGAGAAATAATTGTGCTAAAATTTAATTTTAAAACAATTATTTCTTAAAATTTGATTTTCTTTCCTGTTGAAGTAAATTGATTTAAAAAAAAAAACATTTAGGGTAAAGTTACTCTACCTGAAAATGTATGAAAATAGTTTTAGACACATTCATCACTGGTGGATAATTACTTTGTCTACATCTAATTATTCAGTAATACTTTCTGAAAATTCTGAAATAATTGTTCTACGAAACACAAATATGATTTATTGATGTTCTTATGGAACAAATAGTGGAGAAAATTGTAAAAAAAAAAACAAATAAAAAAAAACATTCCTTTTTTGTAATTAACATCATTAACTGGAATTGAAATCAAAACAATTATAAAACACCATAGTGACAACATGACACCATTTTGCTGTGGGAATATTTCTGTTATTGTTTTTGCTTCAGTGTGTTTCAGACTAAAGACAACACCAAATTAAATAACCTCTCATGTGTTTGTGACCATATATTTCTGTGTATGTCAACTTGGACGCGTTTGTGTGTAAACTGCCGTTGGACAGCGCTTGCTCTGAACCGGTGGCGTATAAATAAACCGGGTTGAATACAATTGTTTTGTAGTGCAACAAGAAGATGCAAATAAATGTAAACACCACCAAACCCAACCAAAAATAGTTGGGTATAAGCTGAGAAACAAATATTCCTGTCAAATGGTTGGTCAAAATAACAAAACATATGCAGACCAAACAAAGACAAAGACAGCTGCTGTGCTACAGGAAACGTTATGGTTACATCTTTATAAATGCTGCCACTCTCAGTGACGTCTACAGGGGGAAAAAAAGAAGCAAAGAAAACAAGTGGGACCAGCACTTGACTGGTCTCTGGCAGCCAGCCCTAACAGGGGTCAGGACATTATGTGCTGCAGCACAAGGACATTTTAACCCACTCAAGTTCCTCAGAAGTAAAGCTGCTTTGGACACAGCGGCTCTAAAACTGAAGCGTTTACCAGAATTAGGTTGATTGCGATCAGAATAAGGAAATAAACCGCAGCGCAGCAAAGCTCTGACCGGCTTTACCTTCTTGTAGGTTTTCTCTCGGCTCGTAGCGCGAGGCCCTTCCATCCCGTTCTCAGAGGTGGTCGACATCTAAAGGACAAAGACGGATCCAAATCAAAACCTGCTACGTTGCCAACAGAGGACTGGTGCTTGTTACATAACCTCAAATTAATAATAAATAACCTTTCTGTAAGGGCACGAGGGTAACTTACCTTGCTTACAGATAAGCAGTGCTTGGACCGACAGCAATCAGGACAACACCTCCTTATTATTAGGCTGAGCAATCATCAGGAGAGTCTCTACAAGAGAGCAGGAACAGGGAAAGCATTATGCAACAAAACCAGAGGCAAAACATCACCCACAAACTCAGCATTACAGCACGGAAAAGCAAGCTGAAGGTAATAATATAAGCTTAGGACAGAGGTAGTTAGGCCTGTTGCTTTACATAACTTTTTGACGTGAGAAATCATTCCCAATGGCTTGTTTGTGTGTAGTAACTCTTTATTGGAGTCTTGTTTTGAAGCAACAAAACAATCCTGCTTGGCAGCTTAACGGTTCAAACTGTATCTCATTGAAGTGCAGAGCTGCGGTTAATGAGTCAGAGCTCAGGGGCGAAAGTTTTCACTATGCTGACAGCACAAGCAACTTCTTCCTGAGCCGCAACACTCCCATCTGTCTGCTGCTCCCCTCCCATCGCTGCCGCTGCCTCCCACCCCCCATGCCCAACCCACTCTGCCTGTTTTGCTCTTTGACTTTCCAAGGAGAAAAAAAAAACAAAAAAAAAACAGCAGAGTGACGTGACTAAACAAAATCGCACCTCGGTGTCCGTATCGCAGGCAAATCGGTCTTGCAGGCTGGAAAAGCTTCACAGAAATCTTGGTTAAGCCAGGACTTTGCGTGACAAAGCTGTGGCGTATCTGCACTTGCCACATCACCTGCATTTAAATGCACCTACAGGACCTGAGCACCTTGAATGACTTTCTGCTTCATCAGCGTTTGGCGGCACGTCCTCAGTCCGGCCAACCGTTCTGTGACCAGCGGTCACATCACCTTCAGAGCCGCTGCACATCTCAGTGAAAGCCTTTGCAGAGCTCTGGAGTCCAAAATAATCTTTAGGGATATTATCCTGCGACATGGGCCAGATGACGGTACCCAGGTTTTTAAAAAGTGGTGATTTTCACATTTCATTTCAAATCCTGTTATATAGATGCCAGAGAAAACGGCAGAGATTTCTACAATAGTGTGAACTGTAGAGTACCACTGTGCCCCTCCCCCACCTGTTGCTATAAAAAAAAAGGTTCCTACACTTGAATCTGTCTCATAAATTGGACAAATTTGAACTGTCATCTTGAAAAGCCCAGTCAAAGAGTCAGATAGATGCTAAAGATGACATCATTATTACTGTAACATTATTATTGTTTGCAGCAGTAGGAATAAATGTTGCATTGTGTGTTGTAAATAAAAGTAATTAGTTCATTTTATATGCTTTTGTTTAAGCTTTCTGGAAAAAAAAAATAACAAAACAAAACAGTGTAACTATGATAACAGATGTAAGCTGGAGATCCGATTCAGCAGATTTTCAGCTTGATCAGACTGACCAGTCAGAAACTCAAAAGTAAATCTTTTTCTGATGACCAAATGCTTAACATAATAATAAATAAATAAAATATGGCAACACTCTTCAGTGTAAAAGTTTGACTGAGGGAAAAGTACTAAAGGTTAGCTATATTCTTCAAGACAGTGATATATCCAGCTGATAACAGGAAGGCTGAATAAGTAAAGCAAAAACGTGTTTACCTCTCTCGCTCTTTGAAGATGCTGGATTTGGAAATGTGAGCAGCCTTTTAAGAATCTTAGGCTGCCATTTTTATTAAGCTAGCTATGCTAACTGTGCTAAATGTTTATTTAAGGTGCTAAAGATAGTTCAAAACTTCACCTCCGTAATCAATTTTTCAGTTTTAAAACATTAGTAAAATCTTGTTTTACAACGACACATGGACAATAATCATTTATGCCGTAACGAGGGAAAAAAATCTTTGGAATCCTTCTTACAGTAAACTTCTTAAAAAGAAATCGGATCTTCTTAAGAAAATATGGAAAAAAAACTGATTAAAAAAAAAAATCAACCATCAAATTTTGACGGGTCCGCCTCTCGTAATGAAATCCTAAACGTGCTTCCTTCTTGGTGAAAACGTGTTTTAAAATAGAGCCAATGTATCCTTCTGGATGAATGCAGGCTCTCATGCACTGATAAAGAAGATTAAAAAAAGAATGCAGCCGACACCATGAGCGCTCATCTCCTGATAAATTCTTATCTGTGGACCAGCTCCTCCGTTGCTATAAACACAACAAAATATAGTTTGGCCAGAGGCGCAAACTAATCCATCACTGTTTGGAAACTTGCATCATTTATATCTTTTCTTTCCCCCTTAAAAAAAAAAAACAAGACTCCGTCAATTATAAGGCAACACGCTGATGCAACATTTGCCTGAAGCCGGAGAAGACATAATGAGATCCTGTTATCAATCATGAGCTGTGTCAATAGAGGTGAATCTGGGTAATGATGTGTTGATCCACCTGAACCATTATTCGCTCCGACTGGCCTGGCGCTCTCTGAAGCTGAGGAATGTTAATGAGTCCGGCTCTCAGAGCTGCCCTGACCTGAGCACCATTTTGTGCGCATCCCCCGCCCCCACCCCTCCTACTACCCTCACCTGACCCCACACAGCCCAGCTGGACGCTCCAGTACCCTGTTTCCAGAAGGATCCATGCGAGGCCTGCAGCTGCGGCGAACAAACAGCAGGTCTCCCGTTCACTTCATAACAAAAGGCAGGCGGACGTATGAACACGCTGACGTGAAACGAATGGACGGATGATCTTAACCAGCCGTGACTTACTCCTGCCATCCACACCATTAGCAAACAACGCAGGCACGTTGGAAAACGGCAAGGAAAAAAACAGAAACAAAGTCAAACGAAACGAGACTCGGCTCCGTCGCATCATTGTCTTGGACAGATTATGTTGTGGAGGAGATGTTGGTGGTCTGGATGAGAACCAAGTGTCGAAACAGATCCAAGTGATTAATACAAAGGAGATTCTGTTTATGAATGCCTAAAAATTAAAAACATATTAGCTTGCAGTAGCTTGCAAACGTATCCACTCCCTTTGAACTTTTCCATAGAGGCCAGCTGTGACGTGGAGGAGAAATGATACATGACTTTCTGCATTTCAGGAATAATTTTGGAAAAACTTTAGTCTCATCTGACCAGAGAACCTTCTGCAACCGGAATTCCCAGTAGGTTTCCTTCAACAATGGCGATTCGTTCATGTAGGCCAGAGTTATGAAGTGCCTAACTCACAGTTGTCATGTCAACAGGTTCTCCCACCTGAGCCGTGGATTTTCCAGGGTCACTATGTTCCTCTTGGCTCCTTCTCTGATGAATGTGCTTCTTGCCTATCAGTTCAGGTGGACAGCAATATCTGGGTAGGTTTGGAGCTGTGCCGCACTCTTTCCGTTTTCAGAAGACGAGTTGAACGGTGCACTTTGGGATGTTTAAAGCTTGGCATATGTATGTTTTATAATCTAATCCTGTTTATTATACAGTTTATCCGCTAATATTCCCTTTTGCGCAGCTATGCTAGCCAGATGAAGTGTTTATTTCCCACACTGCAGTCAAAAGAAGAATCAACAACAAGCTCTGCTTGGACAAAGAAATTGTGTTGTACACGGTGGAAATTGTTTGTGGAAACACAATTCACCGTGTTTTAATAACCTGGACTATGTACTCTTGACATTTAACTCACTTTTCTTTTGCACTTTTAAATTGTCTTGTGAGTGCTTTCTTCTAATTGGGTCCCATAAGAACCGACAGGCTCATTCCTCACTGCGGACAACTCCGCTCACAGACAGCTCCACTATAACTCGTCCCACGCCCTTGTCCAAAATTCTTTCCTCCTGCAAACAGGCCCACTTGAGCGCAGATCAAACACTCGTTCTCATGCTATATCTCCTCCATGGTTTCAAGGGTACTGCCAAGGATGCCGGTCGGTGGAAGTCAAGCAGCACCGCCGTAGTCAGGCAGTCTGGGAGACAAAAATCTGATGCAGAGAGGAGACGAGAGCCGTCTGCCAACGACACAAACCAAATAAAGTCCAATTATTATGAAATTAACCGTCTCTGACAGCGACATCTGAGCTGAGACGTATTCAATCACAGAGGTTCCTGTAGTCACCAGGATACAAACAAACCCAAAGGCTTTTTCTTTTTTTCTTTTTTTTTTTCCCTCCTCTGCTTTGTTTCACTCCCTAGAAACAGTAATATCGGATTACTCCAGCAGACTGTAAACAAAATGATGAATCAATATTGAGACAGCAAGGCAGAGCACTAAGGATCAGGCCGTCTGGCTGCCGTGACCCCCACAATCTGTTACCACAACGTTAGATGAGCAAAGAGAAAAGGATTTCAGTGGAGAAAAACCAAGAAGACACATGCTGTCATCTTAGCTCATCCTGAGGGGAAGTGGATCGGTCAATTTCCCGTCTGAAATACCAGACGGAGAAATACCAGCATTATCTCCTGATTTAATTTCTTTCTTTCTTTTTTTTTTGTTTTGTTTTAATATACGAACAAGAAGAGTCTCTTCAGACTATGAGCAATACAATTATATATGGAGATGAACTGATCAAGCCTATGGCTGCAATTTACATTTTCTGATTTTCAGTCTGATATTGGCTGCTGCAGCATTGGCAGCAGCCAATGGATTGGATTTGTATCATGGTAAAACAAAAATACTATTTAGAGAGAAATAACTTTGAATGGTAAAATGGCAGACTTGGAGTGTGTGTTTGGTCACACGCTTTGATTAATCAGGCCAAGAATGTGAGGTATTTGCAAAGTGTATTATGATATCTTGATGGATTTTGAGTGTGGGGAGTCAACTTCTTCCAGCAACCACAAAAACTTTCTTACAGGAGGCAGATTCTGATTCATGTGCTGAAAACTGAAAGAGTCGTTCAGTTCGGACTAATCCAAGATAAGAAGCAAAAGAAGAACAGCCCCATACAGAGTTTGCAAGCCATGAATGTGTGTTTTCTGTTTCAATAGAAAACTATCAAATCCACTCTTCAACACACGCTCCCTATCAAATCCACTCTTCATATGCTCCCTCCTTCAGCATATGAAACCGATCTGTTTCGTGTTTTACTACATTAGGAGGATTGTTTGTTTTCATCCCCTTTCTGACGGACAGGCTGTGACGTAGCTTCAGGGTACAGTCTGCCCACTAACAGCAGGCACTAT